TGCTGTAAGGTTTAAAGGAGATGATGACTATAATCTATGTAGCCACTTTTATACTAGTATTTGTTGGAAGCAAGTGTATTCTGTATTCGTATACCCTTTGCCAAATGAGGTCGAATGGTGAATTCCCAAACATGTAATGGCTAGGGAAATATTTCCACTATTGGCATGAAGACAAGGTGGGCGACTTTCAAAAAAGATGAAAAGATCAGCTGGAGAGACACGTACACCTTGTAAGTGCAGTAGGTGCAAGAAAAATGGTCATGTTCGATCCATTTGTACAAGCCGATCAGCTGGTAGTGAAACTTAAAATTGTAATATTGTCATGACTTGTAGCAGTATAATTTTGTACTTATCCAAAGCACAGGATGAATCATTAAATTTTGTAAGCATTGTGCTATAAAAATGCTTTTGTACTATTGAAATGACATTACCGTCATTTTACGTTTTCGTATTTATTTTATCTCACATTAAATACAAACGACGTAGATATAGTCACAGCTGATAGTACAAAGATACACAATCATTCTAATAACGATATTGAAATCGTTCCTGAACTACGAACGATATAATTATCGTTCCAGTACGAAAATTGAACTGATTTTCATAACGATATTGACCTAGTTCCTGTAACAAAAAACGACTTAAATATCGTTTCAGTATGAAATACACACTGCTTCACCGATCTTCGTAACGATGTTGAAATTGTTCTCGTAACAACAAAACGACTTGGATATTGTTTCAGTATGAAATACAAGCTGATTTTCGTAACAATATGGCCATTGTTCCTGTAATAAAAAACGATTGTAGATCTTTGTAACGATATTGAAATCATTCACGTAACCAACAAACGACTTTGATATCGTTTTAATATGAAATAAATGCTAATTTTTGTAACGATATGAACATCGTTCCTGTAATCAACAACGACTGCAATATCATTTCAGTATGAAATACACATTGCTTCACTAAATTTCATAACATATTCGAACAAGATGTATAAGATGTATAAACCAAGTTGAGCATATAAATTTTCGATAAGAAAATAAAAATTCTGTACAGATTGCAAACACTGTAGTAATTGACAACAAAAGCTCATA